CCATAACGTAGGCTTATTTCAAGGTGAAGAAACAAGCAAAGAGAGTTAAATAGCACTCTAAATTCTTAGCAAGGAGCTGATTTACATCTGTTTACAACAAATTTTGCCCCTAAACACATGGCTAATTGGTGTCACCTTCCATGTGCCCATTAGAATTATTTGACCATACTGGACCTTTATTTCCAAATCTAACCCATATAATGGAAGTGGAAAGAAAAGTTGATCTTTCTACCACTTGGCTCTACCCTTCAAGTCATACCATGCCCTATGACTGTGATAAAGAACATAAACGATCCATGCTAATTTTTCCTTTCTTGACATTACACCATTAGAGAAGTCATGGGGATTTCTAAAAATTGCCCTCAGGCAGTGTTTAAAACATACATGTTTTTGCAAGTGTACTGAACTGTATCTATAGGAATAATGTGTGTGCAGAGTCTGCAATCCAGAGAGTTTTGTGGTTTAGAGGCATTGTTGCTTCTGATTGTTTCTGATCACATGCCCTCCTTTACTTCACCAAAATGTAGGTTGGTTTCCACGAGAGTATTTTCTGTGGGAATTCCAGTCTGAGACCATGTACATCTTCCTCCGATGATCCGCTAACGTTGGCCTTCTGGGGGGATTCTGTGTGCTAGAGGACGTGGTTACAAAGGTCTAAGTATTATGGGCAATCCGAGAGACAGCAGCAACCAGGAACTTCTGGGGTTTTCACTACACGGCTTGGCATCTCATTATAACAGTTGCGAATTTTCTTACTAAGAGATTATGTCTTTACCTATCATTGCATTTCCCTCAGTGGGTTCTGTTTCAGTAAATGATCTGATGGCAGCTTTCTGATTCTCTTTTTCTCTACTACAACAAAAAAATGATAACAAGATAGTTTACACTAAACACTGGGTGGATTCAGAGAAATTTGTTGGGAGGCAACTCTAATTTTGTCATTAACTGATCATGTGCCTGGTTTGGGTTTTACTGAGCACTGCCATGTATGCAGCACAGTGCTAGGAACTTGGGGAACACAGAAAAGAAAGGAGGTAGGGATTTTGCCCTCAAGAAAATCCTATTTCAAAAGTAACTTAAGTTGTAACTGAATTGCCCAGTGAGAAGAGACAGTAAAGGAAGTGCTGGAATGTTCCCTGGGGCATACGGAGAGAAACACCCATGAGAGAGGGTCAAGTGATAAAATGCTTGAATGTAATCTTAGTCCTCATTATAAGCCAGGAAAATTGAACAAAATTTCTTCGCCAGGGTGCAGGCAGTAAAGAAAAAAATTAGACTGCCACAAAGTTCTTCTAACTCTATAAATTTATAAAATAACCTTGAATAAATATATATTATATATATAAATATATAATAATAAATATATTAATGTAACTTGCAAATATTCCCCTTGAGTAAAATTGAATAAATATATTAATTGTAACTTTAAAATGTTCCTCTAATCAGAGGCATAGTTATCTTTAACATACTTCTCAAACTTGTTATGTTTATTTCAGAGAATGAGCAGACTTAAGGAAATTTGTTGAGAGCCAAATCTGTTATTTTCCATTATGAAAGGAAGAGATATTTTGCAGAGCTACAGTGTCACCTTCAACCACTTATTTTAATGAAACATAGATGTGTACAAATATAAAATATGTGTGAACTTCTTATCCTTCTAGTTTTTATAAATTATAAAACCAAAAGATGTAAATTAAATAGAAACTATGAAAACATTTGAATTACTGATTAATGTGAGGTTTTGTGTTTTAGAAGCCAAATCCCCACCGTGGAGACCATTGTCAGTGGAAAGAGATGCATTTGCGTTTTTTGTTTCATTTGACCCCTTTGATTTTGCATCTAACAGCCCATCACATGCATCTGTGGCCTTCTTGTGGTCATTTTTTCCTTCTTACCAAATAGTGTATTATTATCTACTGCTTCATTGTTTTGATGAGCCAGTTCATTTAATGGTACACTCCAAAATACAACTGCAGAAAAATATATCATTAAATGTACTCTATGATGAATCTACCGCCACTTCTCTACTTGTAAACTATGGTAAAACTTCTGTTCTTAATTCAGGACATCATTTAGGCTTTATTTAGCATAAATGCATTATTGACTTTTTAAGTCCATTTATTTTGTTTGCTTACTTCAATATTAGCAGTTTTGATCATCAAAGTGAAAACACAAAATTTTTAAACTCATCTAAAATTTAAAATTATGTCTGTAGACTTGTAGGAGACAAGGACACCAATTTGACAAATACAGTACAGTTCTATAGGATGTTGGGCAAGTAACTGATAACCAAGTAGTAGTTCCTCTTTGTTTTCTCAGAAGATTGGTGACATTTCCGAGGATATCTGCTGACTTCCTTCTCTTCCTCAGCCTTAATCTGCTCTCTTAACAGTTAATAAACCAATGTCTCCTTTGTTTCTACATGAAAGGACTTTATGAAGGACTTTATAGAATAAGTGTGGGTATAAGGCCTGAACAGAGTCAGTTAAGTGAATGGAACAATTTAAGTATCTTCATATAATACTAGAATTGCCCATTGACTTTCTCTCTTCCACTGCACCATGAACTCTTTGAGAAAGGGGCTGTGCCTTATACCTTGTTGGATTCTTAGTATGCAGTACTGTGCCCAGCATATATTAGGCATTCAGAAAATGTTTGTGGAAATAATGAAAATTAATATAAGAAAGTACTTAGTGGTATGATGTACTTCAGATGATAAGCACCAGTCTCTTGTTGCTGGAAGCATATGACCCATAGCTTGTCACTGTGGTAAATTACCCCTGGCAGAAAGCTAGTCTCAGCCTGCCTCTGGTATGTTCTTGCCTTAAGAATCAGACTAGTTTCCTTCACTGCCTAATAGTAAGTATCTGGAAAGTGATGAAAAGTTTCCCAATTGGCGTATTTCCTCTGGTGTCTTTCCCTTTCCTTTCCTTGCCCTGTCATCCTTGTGACTCAGGAAGCTATGATCTCCTCCTTATTCACAGGAAACAGAAAGCACGGTCCAGAGCACAGTATCTTTTCCACCACTCAGCCGCTCTGGAGAGCTCCAGTTCCGTGGAGGAGAGCACTCATCCTGCTTGTTTTCTGGTTTTGTTCTGTTTGCCTGATTCATTGTGATGATAGACTAAGGAGATAAACTGTGTATTTGTTGGAGTTAGTTTTTGATTCTTCAAAGTCAAAGCATATTGTTACTGATCCTTATAAGAGTACTTCTCTGGTTAAGTTATTGTACATCTTTTCTCCAAGGTAACTTTTCTCTAAGTTAGCTTTTTTAAACCAACTTTCATATCTCTTATCAAAAATCATTCAACAGATAATGGTCCTTGGTTTCCATCATGCGCTTCAGACACAGGATTGTAACACTTGAGGGAAAATGTTCTGCTTGGTTCAAGCCTTCAAACCAAAATAACTTGAAGCAAAGAGGCTGGTCTTTCTCTTCTGAAAAATTTCTTGACATACATGTCTGCCATTCATTGCCTTATATATATGTGTATGTGTCTGTATATATACTTATATATATACACACATATATATATAACCAGTAGCTAGCTACTATATATAGTGTGTATATATATATATATAATATATAACATAGCTATTTTATATATATACATATATAGTTAAATAGAAATATATATATATATATATATATATAAAATACTGCTTCTGGCAATAAAGGACAGAAAAGAAAACTTGGTAGTACTAAAGATTATATACTTCATGTACTAACATATTATGTAAAACGGCTCTAGGCAGAAGCAGCTGAGGACTGAACTCTGTTTATCATTCCTAGTAAGCTATGTGGCTGAGAGCAAATAACTTTTCTATGCATTAGGGAATTTTTCATCTCAACAATTAAACTTTGCCTTCCATTACATTGCCTTCAGATCTGTAAGCAATTAAGAAAACATTTTGGAATTTGGAAATATAAAATGCAATGAAACTTTATTAAAGTATCAAATAGAAAACAAGCAGCTCTGTAGATAAGAACCAAGTATAAATAAATACTTACACCAGAGACTGATACTTTATTTCATAGTATATAGGAATCAAGATATTGTCATTAGCACTTAGAGTAAATTTGCATATTTGTGTTTCTCCCTATGTTTCTATTAAAGGTAATGATTTTAGTACCATATTTTTTGTTCTTATTTTTTTCCTCATCCTATAAAAAGTAATGATATGCCTTGAAATAGCATAAAATAATGAAGCGAAGTAACTAGGAAAATTTTTATTTAAGTTATATTCAAATAAAGAATTAAAGATAGTACAAAAAATTAGTGTCATTGCCTATCTCTATAATGAAATACTGGTACAAATAACTCACGTGGTTGTGTTTGATATGTGTATGAATAAGTATATATACATTTGCACAAGTATACGATTTCACCACCAGTAGTAACATTGTTTCAGATTTTCAGTTATTTGAAAGAACCGTATGCTTTCATATTGAATACATAATGCATAGGTACTATTTGCTTCCAAGTGGAATGTACTTATGACACATAATTTAGAGGTACTTACTCAGAAAAATAGGTGAACATCCCTTTACAGTCTGTCTTTGGAGTAACAGGCCGTCAGCCTGCACAGCCCAGACTGCTGCGTAGATGAGAGCCGAAGTGGGCTTTGCCTTAGAGCAGAGACAGGGCTCTCTTGGTTGGATGGCACTACCACCTGTAAGTTGTACTTGGGCGGAAAGTTATGAAAGCAATAAAATAATTTTTCTCACAGTGTCGGAATGGGTGATGCTGATGCACATGAGGCCCTCCTCTGCTTTATTTATTAAACTGAAGTATAGTTGACATACTACGAGGTCCTCCTTGAAGGCAAGAACCCTGACTGTCTTGCATGTATTTTCCTAGGGTTTCACCCAACACCTGTCTCATAACTGGTACCAAAAAAATGTTGTGACCATTATTCTTAAAAATGGTACCTTAAACAGTGAGTTATTTCCCAGAAGTCTACCACATATATTTTGAGCTGTTTCTTTACTTAAATAGGGAGAAGATCCAATTTATCCGAACTGAAGGGACCCCAGGATTGGTGCGTCTTTCAAGTGATGCAGACCTTGTTATGTTGCTGAGGTACGTAACACTAGTTTTTGAAGTGGGAAGTCTCCTGTCATCAATATTGTGGAGCATTTAGAAAATTAATATGCTAGCAGCCTAAAAATGTCTCCTTTATTCTAAATAAGACAGATGGAGATAGACAGATACCATATGATTTCACTTATTTTGTGGAATCTGAAAACAATATGAAGACTCATAGATGCTGAGAAGTGACTGGTGGTTGACATGGGGGAGGGACAGGGGTAGGTGGGTCAGGAAGATAACAAATAATAAAGAGGCAAAAAAATTCTCAATAACAATATAAGTTGGTCACAGGGATGGTCGTACAGCATGGAGAATATAGCCAATGATTCTGTAACATCTTCCTACGCTGAAAGATAGTAACTGCACTAGAGGGGGTGAGGATTTAATATTGTGGGTAACTGTGGAACCACCATGTTATATACTTGAAACCAGAGTAAGATTGTATATCATCTATACTTCAATTATAAAAAAAGAACTTGTGGAATATTCGTGTTGAAGATTTAATATGTGATTTAGTGGTAATTCATTTCAGATTGTATTTCTTACTGCTGAGACCAATCTGATTTTTTTTGTACCCTGCTGGTGAAGGAGGGAAAGGTTTGTAGAAGCCAATCAATAGAATGTCCCAGTGATAAAACTGAACAATGGAAGGGTATATACAGCTTACCCCAACAGAGTAGAAGAGAGGTCATTGTTATATTTTCTTTCAAAATTTTTGTCTCAAAATGTGTTTTGTACCCTTTTGCTGATTTGACATTATTTATTTACTTTATGAGTTTAAGAGTTTAGGCTTCGAAAATCAAATAAAAAAGTTGAAATTTGGTCACCAGTACTCACTGCCAACTTGATATCTGTAGGAAATTATACAATTCAAAATAAATCCATTTAAGTTTATTTTCTAATATTGCTGTAATAAAACTAAGGAAATTTTAAATGACCTTGCTTTATTTGTTATTGATCACTCTATTTCACATATTCTTTCACTAACTTGATTCATGTAAAAAAATGTACCTCTATCAAAGCTCATATGGGAAATGATTGATAAATTTGGCTACATTTGAATTTAAAAATTACATGACGAAAGACATAACATAAAAGGCATAAAGAAAGGTAACAAATTGGAAGAATATATTCACAACATACTTAAAAAAAAGATATCATAAACACCCAAAAAATACCTTTCAATCAATTTAAAAGAAGAGAACACAGGAGAGAAATAGGTAAAGGATATAAAAAGCCATTTCATAAAAATTGAAGCAAGAATAGCCAGTAATCTTATAGAAAGACTCTAGTGATCATAAAATGCAATTTCAAATAATTATATACTAATTCACACTACTAGATTTGAAAAAAATCACAAAGTCTGATAACACCAAATAAGAAATAGGAACTTTCATATTGTCTGGATTTGGTGGAATTGTAATTTCTACAACCTCTTTGGAGTACAATTTCACAATACCTTGTATAGCTGAAGAGGCATATCCATTATGACTAAGCAATTCTGCCTTTAATGTATACCATATTTACATGGAAAAACTCTTTTACCTATATACAAGATAATATATACAGGGTGTTCATTGTTCCATTATTGGTAAAAGCACAAAATTGGAGGAAAAGTAAATATTTTTCAAAAGAGATAGGAATAAATAAACTGCTTTTTTTTTCAAAGAATGGACTAGAGCACAGCAGATAAGTTATAAACTAGATCCTTATGTATCAATATAGACATAAAAAATAGTTGAACAAGAAAAAGTTCAAGAATGCCATCTATTTATAGAGCATTTATGTAATTTTTAAACAATGCATAAGGCAAAACTATATATTATTCAGCTATGCATATATGTTACAAAATATTAAACTATGGGAGGAATGATACCTATTAAAGTCATGATGAATAAAAGAAACTTCATTTACATGCTTATACACATATATAAATACATATGTATGAAAAGTTTGGGATTCCAAGATCTCAGATCCCTGGATACTATATTTTAGGAGAATATTAGAAACCAATTTCAATATGGAGGAAAAAGAAGACACTAGATTGAGTAATCTAAGATCAAAATTCTCTCATTTGAAAAAACATAATAAAGTCAGAGTAAATGAAACAGCCAGTTATTTAGCAGTTGTAATTATTTAGGAGGTGTTTTGTTTTATTTTGCTTTTAATTCTTCAATTAAATCCTAAGCTGTTTGAAAGTTGAAACCCTGTTGTGTATTTATTGGAATGAAGATATAGAATGTACTTTGTATAATATCGGTTCTCAATAAACATTGTCTCTTATATTTGAATCTTATTCCCAAATCTAAAAACCTGGATGGTATTTTCAAAGAGAAAATACCCATGTCAAAATGTGTAAAACTCAAATTACATATTGAAGTGGCAAAATAGAAATAATATTGTCTAAAATTGGTAGGGAAACAGGCAAATAACCACAGGTTTCTCGAATGCTGCAACAGCCAGCTCTTTGGTCCCAAGAACTGCCTAGAGGAAAAAGGGGACAAGTGCTCACTTTAGAATGTGAACTGGACCTCAGATGGGATAGGACAGAGATCGACTCTTACCCATCATGGAAACAGGGCTTATTCCCTCCTCTGGCTAAAATATGCATTTTATGTCTTGTCTTTCCCCAGTTTATTTGAAGAAGAGATAATGTCTTATGTGCCTCCACATGCCTTACTCCACCCCAGCTACTGTCAGTCTCCCCGTGGCTCTCCCGTGTCCTCTCCCCAGAACTCTCCAGGTGAGTCCACCTACTCCTGCAGTGAAGTCTCTTGAGGGGTGAGCCCTAAAGTCAGACGTTCTGTCCTTCATGAAGGACACTAAGGGAAACTTTGAGTACATGTTTAGTATTATGTGCCACTTTCTGTCTCTTAAAACTGGCTATTTCCATGGGGATTCATTTTGACAGGAAAATAATGACATTCCAGAATAGGATGATAAATGTTAGCAGTATGATACACTCAAATACAGAATTTACTTGTTATTAAGTTATATAATGCCTGAAGTATCTAGGAAGATATTGGAGTACACAATGCTATCTTAGCTCTTTGCGTTTAAAAAGCTCTGGTTAGGAGACTGATTCAATGACTAATAAAAAGAAATCTCTACTTCAAGAAATAATACAGAATTAAAATTAATCAGTTGAATGGACTTGGATAGTTTTTCCTTGCAGTATCGCTAATTATTTAAGTAGATAGGAAGATTAGAGACACATGGGCAGACAGAACATGTTGATAAATGAAATAAACTAAAATTGTTAACTTCAAATGCTTTTTGAAAGATGTTGGTGTGAATGAGGGAGTGGATGGATGAATGAATGAATGGTGCCTTAGCAACTGAGTTTTTTAAAGGAAGGTAGTCATGATGTTGACAGAATATCACTATGTTTATCCTTATTACAGGCAATGTATTGTTCACACTTTAACAGCTATCAGAATTTATTTTAATGAAATTCAAATTCCATATATATCACTAGAAGCTGCTGTATGTTAATATATAACGTGTTCTCACATATTGCTACGATAATGAAGCTACATCCTAATACTGCACACAGGAAAAGGTCTATTTGTTCATTCAACACAGATTTATTGAGCATCCAGCTATGATCCGAGCACTGAATTAGACCCTGGTGCTGCAAGGATGAAAATACAGCCTCTGCCTTTGAAGGATTCATGCTGGGGCAGTGAGGCAATAAATGACTCTATAAAACTCTGTGGTTAATCCTGTAATGAAGAGATGTATGGAAACAATTCTTCAAGACTAGGGGTAGGGTGTTTGGGAAAAGATGAAAATAACAGGTATGAAGGAGAGCCTTGAAGGATGATGAATATCTGTTTACCAGGTAGACCAAAGGAAGAAGGATATTCTAGGTAACATAAACTAAGCCACAGAAGCATGAAAGTAGTTTAGGGCAAATCAATAGAGATACAACTGAAGGCAAAGTCTCAAAGCTCAGGTTGGGAAGATAGGCTGGAGCCAGATGATCATTGAAGCCTTCCTTTGTAGTCCATATGGAGGCACTAAAAATTTACAGAAGAATATCCTGTTTTACAAAGATAGATTTGGTGGCAATATAGAGGATGGGTTAGAAGATGAGAAACTGGAGTCAGAGAAACCACTTAGGAGGCTATTGCATTAACCAAGGTGACATGATAAAGGGCCAGACTCATGGTGATAGAGAAAAGGGATATAAGTCAAAGGATGCATTGGATATGGAGATACCAGGACTTAGACTCCAGTTAGGGACGATTCTGAGATCCTTACAGCCTGGACTGTGAGGGTGATGGTAACCCTATTCACCAACAATGGAAAAAGATTAGACTGGTGGGGAGGTGTTAAATGAGTTTGGTTTTGAACATGTTCTATTGAGAAATCTTTGGCCCATCCTAACTAGAGATACCCAGAGACAACTGGAAAGACAGTCATGGAGCACAGGAAAGTTGGTGGTTAGGAATGCGGGCATTCCTAGCTGAACTCCAGAGTTTAGATTAGAGAAACTAGTGAGGACAAGTCTTTGAAAGAAGAGAAAAAGAGTCGATGGTAACATGAGGAACCCCAGTGTTGAAGGGGTGGGATGAGATAGAGGAGCAAGCGAGAGAAAGAGAGCCAATGGATTTTGGGAGATAATTAGGAATGTCTTTCCAGGAAGGGCAGGATCCAAGGAAGAGGGAATGGTTAACTGAGTGAAATCCTCAAAAGGATCAAGAAGGATGAGGCCTGAGAAGAGGCCATTAGATTTGAAAGTCATGAAGTTTTATAGGGCCTTTGCCTGAGAAGTTTCCATGAAGTAATAGGTCATAAACTGGAATGTGACCAGGTACAGAATGATATGAGATGCAAAATGGAGCCAAGAGTATAGATAGAATATTCTTTTTATGAAGTATGGGAGTGGAAAAAAAAGGTAGGACAATAATTAATAGAAGAGTTAAGGCAGGGATTTTAGGATGGGGAAGTTGAGCTTGTGTGTGTGCAAAGGTCAGAAGATGTGAGTGGAAGAAGAGTGGTTCGTTGAATGAGGCAAAGCAGCAGCCAGTGCAGTGCAGGTCTGTGGAAGAGCAGGACCCTGGAGGCAAAACACAGGTCAGCTGGGCAACGAAAGCACAGGGCAACTTGGAAATGCCGTTTTGATGATACAAAATGAAAAGAAATAAGCATATGACACTACAGGGAAGTTTAAAGGTGTAGAGGAATAACTGATGAAATTCAAAGGCCTCAGTCTTTACCAACTGTGTTTGGGGGCTAATAGTAATCACCTCCCATTGTTATTTAGAGTACACCTCACCTGGAACCTGGAACATAATAAGCATCTAATAAAGGTTAATTTATCCCTTTCTCTTTTTTTCTGAAAGTCTGATTGTGAGAAGCATAGTTTGTCAATATTTGAACTATTAGTAACTGGAATGCATAAATCCATTTCTTCCTGATTTGCAGCACTGGCTGCTTAGATATTGAATCATTCTGTCTTTATCTTAGCTCAACCCTGTGATGAAATTTAAGTAGGTTTTCCCTAAACTGATGATTTATGGTTAAAGAAATGAAGCTGTATAGATTATTGTTCATTCCAGTCAAGGCTTTCCTTTCCAGGCTTTTTCTGTGGCCCATCCTCCCTGAGAAGAAGGTAGATCACCAGATTTTCTCCCTTCCAAGCCATACAAAGGCATGTGTTCTTGGGGACTGGCTGAACATTCTTTGAGACTGTATGAAAATTGTAAATGGGGACTCAGTTCACTTCTTTTCAGTTAGCATCACAAATGTACATGGAGTAATCCGCGGTGGTAATAAATTGCATTCTGAAAGCATATTTAGAATTAAGTATTTTCCAAAGACATGGAGACCCCAGATATATCTAAATTGCTAGCAGTGTTTGTGGTGGTTTTGATTTTCAGAAAGAATCAGCTCCATATTTTTGGCCTGCTCTCTTTCAGCAAGCTTTATTTGATCTTGAAACGGGGATGTACTGCCTGATATCAATGGAAGTAGCTGTAACTGATTCCACATGATACAAGCCGAGAACTAGCTAGCCTCATTTACCCTGTGGAGGAACCTTATTTCTTTAAGTACAGTAGCCTGTCCTTCTACCAGTATTCCTAAAGTTTTTTTAAAACATTTCGAACAAAATTTTTAAAGTGGTCTAATCCTCCTTCCTATAACAAGAATGTTATCCCTTCAATGCTGTGAGAATAATATTGTGAGTATTACAACAATAATAGATTTGAATAATCGTCTTTCAGAGCACCTAGGAACCTGGTAAACTTTCCCTTCCTCATTCTAAGCACATCTACATGTCTTTCCATGTAAGAGAGAGGGGCTTTGGAAACTTTGACTAACTGCTTTTTACAGCTGTTAGAGTGTTCACCTAAAATTTGTTGAAACTGTGGAATGTGAACGTTTGTTTTGCTAAGATCATTATAATGCCAATCTCGACCTTAGCTATTCCAGAAAGAAAAAAATATTTGGTTTATTATGCCAAATATGGAACCCAGAAGTTCTTTTAAGGACCTTTTGTAGCCACACATTTCTAGGAATTTAAATGCGGTAACACCTAATTTATCTGATATTGTTGGAGATGTGCTCACTTTGGTGAATTTTCCATGTAACCAAAGCTGTGGCTTTAAGTGTCAGATTTTATTTAACCCGCTGTTTGCTGAAACTCTTTCCTAAATACATGGTTTTCTCCCTGCTTCCCTGTACACAGTGCACTGAGGGTAGTTCATGGTTGCAGGCGATCATTGCCCAAACTGTTGTTACTTGGATAGAACTGGACTCTCTGGAAGCTACTACCAGCACCAGGTCACACTTGGCAGAAGTGAAACAGACTGGAGCTGCGGAAGAGCCATGTGTTTTCTTTACTGAAGGTGGTCCTGAAAGCATGAGATGCAAGAGAGAATTCTCACTCCCAACACAGGGCGACTCCTTAAGGATCCTCTGTTCCTCTTTCTCCCTCCAAAGTCTTAGCATCATCACTGTTGTTTATCTCATCTCCTGCTCTTGTCACAAACATTCTCTCTTCACTTCCCTCCACCACCTAGTGTGTGTGTGTGTGTGTGTGTGTGTGTGTGTGTGTGTGGCGCTCTCTCCTCCCTCCTTCACTCCCTTCCCTCTCCCTTCCTCCAGCTTTCACACAGCCCCTGAAGCAGCTTTGTCCTTGTTTTTAGAAAAAATGTTCTATCCCTTCATTGCTCAGCCCCACAGAGATGAGGTAGGTCCCAAATAGCAGCAATGAAGGCTGCTCCCTGGCGTGTGGGGATGGGCAAGTTGTCATCCAGAGACTAAGGGACAGCCAAATAGTGTCTCTGTTGCTGCATAGAAGGTTTTTGTCTTTGTTTTGCTGGTGGTGTTAGTCTCCCTTGTCCCTATCCCAATGCAATCGAGATGCCCTTCAGGGTCCCCTTTTAATAAATTGCTTCTGATTTGCCAGGGTCTGAGAAATGAGATGATTAAGTCAGTTTTAAAAAAATAAATGGTATGTAAATGACAGCATCAGCAAGCCCAAAACAATGAGCTGAGGGCCTTTCACTTCTCTAAGAGTAGGAGGCAAAATGCAAGGACCTGAGTACTTGTGCTTGGCTCCACCTACTTTGGAAATGTTTTTTCCCCATAATTTCTATTTCCCCATGTTCCAAAAGGTAGAGTCTTCCAGACATTATCGTAATGCTTTTGTTCTCATTCACTGGCAGGGAATTGTTTTAAAAAGAAATGTCACAGAGTTGTTTTTAGGAAGTGAACCAGGAAAGAAGTGGGCTTCTGAGCCATCCCCGTCCGGAGGCCTGGAGCTGTGCGGGATTAGGCTGAGCTGCAGCCTGTCCAGGGCAGAGTGACAGCTGGTCATCAAAGCCATCTGGGTTCCTAGTGACGTATCTGGAATCAAAAAAGACCCAGACTTCTCAGCAGTTTGACGCCAAGATTTTTCTAGTATCACATGAAGTATGGTCAGGTCGAATTCTGTAATTTGTATTAATTATTCAGTTCTATAATAGTAAATGGAAATAGTGTAGCACTATTTGGAAAGACTTTAGGTGTGCCTAGCAATGGTACAGAGAAAAAAAAAATCCTAATGTCTGTTACTGAAATTTTCTCCTGCAAATAATTAACATAGTGCTTACTACCTATGAAGTCAGCCCTTCCTTTGATCACTTCCTAAATTGACCTTTTTATGTCTAACTTCCTTTTCTAAGACAGTAGTGACCGTACATTACTTTCTCTGTAGGAGTATTATATCCTAGAACTTCACTTGCAGTTGTGGTTCTATTAGTTTAATCTTCCAAAAAAATTTTTGATTTCCAAAGTAGAAGTACCATCATTCCTTCCCTGGAATTTCTTGGCAGTTGCCCCTGATATACATTATGAATTTGACAAGGGCCAAGAAAATAATTTACTGTAATTTTTAAACCATGAAGTAATGTATAAATGACTTTTTTCTTACTACAACTATTAGCAGAAGAATGTTTGCATTGAACAGTTTCTGTCTCCAGAGCCTCCATAATCAAATCCCTTTATCTAGACTATGAATGAAATCAGAGCTAATTTTTATTAAGGGTCTGTATTGGTATTGATGGAATGCATTTTGGCATTTCCCACACCCTTTTAAACATCTTAAATTATACAGCAATAGTATATGTGCTGTCATTTTTTTAAGGTAATCAACTCTTGAAGAATCATGTTTCTTTTGAGTCCTGAAAGATCTTCACTCAGTCCTTTGTTCTTCCTTGTCCTCTTCCCCATCAGTGATTTTCCTCTTGAAAGCTGATTCATTACTGCTACTTTCTGAGCTGTCTGGGTTTATTAGTCTCCAGTTTCTCAGGCCACAGCCCTGACAGCTTTATCCTCTTGTGCTGCACTGCGCTGTCCTTTGACCTTCCAAGAGAGCAGGCTTGTGCTCCCAGAGGTCATGTTCCTTCATGCTGCAAATGATGCCTTTCAAGTATACTGGAATCTTCGCCCCTGTTGGTCTCTGGATGATGCCCAGGTGTTTCATTGGTTGCATTTGAATGTTCTGTAGGGGATAATGGCTCCCAACTGTGACTGCACACTGGAGTCATCTGAAGAGCTGCATAAGACACTACTGCCTAGGTCCCACCCCTTCAGATTCTGCTGTCATTCACTTAGATGTGGCCTGAACATTTAAAAATTTTTAAAGCTGCCTAAGTGTGTCTACTGTGCAGTAAAGATTGAGAACCACTACCTAGGAGTCTCTTCTGCATCCCTGACCTTTTAATGTCAAGTTTATATGTTACCTTTATGGCACAGCTCTTAGTTTTTTGGGCAAAAGACTCATACCTATGCAAATAAACCTCTGGACATATTGATCACTAGCCAGTTTTATTAAAATTCATTCCTAAAACCCCAACACGTTTCCCCTTATCTTTAGTACTTGCCTCTATATGGATAACAATAACACCTAACAACTGTATGGGCCTTCTTTCTTACCTGAAAGCACTGTGCGAAGCGCCATACATACACTCACTCATATAATCCCCAACTGTGGCCCTCATCTCTCATCAAAATCCCAATACTGTATTTTCCATTGCCTGTTAATATATCCACCTGAACAGCTGTCTACTCCAGCTTAGTATGTATAAAGCTTCACATGTCTCTGTCTAACAGCATTGTTTTCCACACTCCTTGTAGCACCAGGTAGACCTGGCTCAAACCCCAAACCTACCATTCACCAACATATGACTGCAGTTTCTGTAGTTACAAAGCGGTAGTGATGATGGTACTAATCATAATGCCTGCTTCATGGACTTAGAGTTTGCCGAGATCCTCAATATGAAATGCATGGTCCCAGTGCATAGCAGGCACTTAACAAATGAAAGCTATGTTATTGTTTAAAAACTGTGCTATGTATCAGAGCTTCCTGTCTTTCTTCCTCACTGATCTACTATTACCAGTTCTCATTCCACATTGTACATGTTTCTCTGAGCAATCACTGTCCTGCCTAAGCCTCAACTGCTCAGGCCTGCATTGCTGCAAGGTCTACTCCCTCCAGTCTCCCTCCCCCCTTCTCATCCTGAGTCCACTCCACATACTTTGAAAATCATTTCTCAAATATAACATCATATGTATATTATTCCCTTGCTCAAAAACCTGTAAAGCTTCCCACTGTTCACTTCATGGTGTCCAGACTCCTTAGCTAGGTTTTTTTTAATTCCTCTCATAATTTGGCTCCAACCTTCTGACCAGTTTAATTTCCCGTTACTGCCCTGTGCTCCCCCTATGCTCTAGGTTAGCAGGGTCTCCTTGGTGGCTTGTGAACATGCATTCATGCTTCTTCCAGCTCTTGCTGCCCTGCCCCAGTATAGGTACAGATTGCCCTCTATTTATAAGGACTGAGCCAATAAAGCCTCTCTCCCAGGCCTTTTCCATTTTGATCTCCACTTATTCTCATTTATTATTTCTGTGACCCTGATCCTAAATGCAAATACCAAGCGGGCCAAGCAGCCAGTGTCACCGAATGGCTGTGGCATATGGAAAACACAAGCTTTATCTAATGGAGCAGCTACCTACTGTGGCAATGGGAAAATGAAGCCAGTGGTGCAAGAGTTCCCACATAATTTTCAAGAGAAAAATCTAGATTATTTTTTTCTTGAAATCTCCTAGTTTTAAATGTTGGATATTAATTTAAAATCTTTAAAAATGATTGTATGGCAAACAAAATAGATCTTTAGGCCTGGATACACCCTCAGAGCACAGTTTTGTCTCCGCTTTATATCTTGTATACCATCTAGTTTAGGACTTAATGGTTTCTCTAATTATATGACATGTTTTATTTCTGTCTTCCCAACCAAAATTTCTACTCCAGCAACCCCACCCTATTCATTTTGAGCATCTGTTGCTGAATCTAACACAGTATTAGCAATGAGAAATTGCAATGAGCCATCAACTTAGTTGATTCATTAAAGAAATATTTGGTGAGTTTATATGGTGGGTAATGCACAAGACTTCAAAATTTTTGTTCTCTGGTTTCTTTCATTATGTTGTGAAATATTTATTGGAATAGTTAGTGTTTTTGTCCTGGCTCTGTGTCTGACTCCCATATTCTTCATCAGTTCTGTATCTCAGCTTAGTCACCTGGTGACATAAAGCCAGATTTTTCAATGGAAAGAGGAACAAACTGTGTTGCTTTTTATGTCTTATTAGTGATACTTGACATTGGATGACATATAAAACATCTTCAGAAAATCCATAGATAATCACAGCACTTGGCACATATTAATATTGAGTAGCAGTATTATTTATTCTTCATGCAATCAGGAGTGTGCAACATGTGTCTTGTGCAACATGTGCCTTCTGCAAATATGTCTAATTTCTGTTTTTATATCAAGATTATTCTACCTTGCAATATGAAATATATATAATTATGTGTCTAAAATAACTCTGGGTTTTATAGCATTTATCTAAAAGTACTTTCTGTAGGTTTTTCATGAAGTATGGAAAGTCACCATTCTTGTTTTATATACCACCTACTTTCACATTGCAACTTCCTGTCTAGTTGCTATGATAGCATCTCAGCAGCAAGCAAAAATATTCCACCCTGAACAGTTACCATTAAACATGAGTAACTCTGTTTGACTCAGTTTGGACTGAAAGAAGAAACAGTTGACCAACACATGGGCATCACTGTAACATCCAGACAGAATTGTTACTCTTAAGCAAAAGGCCAAAAGAAGACAACCTTAAAGACCTTTGTTAGGCTGTTACAGCCTTCAACTTGGAGAAGTGAAAAGTGGGCGAACTAAAAGGATTGCCTCCTTTTACTTGCTGACTGTGGTGGTCTCAGCCCCATGGTTATATTTTTCATGGTGTTGGGATGAACATCAGGACACTGTACAAATCCAAACCCTTCTCTTTTTCTGGTTTGCTGTAGGTACTCAGCGTGCCAATGCCCGGGCTCCAGCCCCTTACAAGCGAGATTTTGAGGCCAAACTAAGGAACTTTTACAGGAAGTTAGAGACTAAAGGATATGGACAAGGCCCAGGGAAATTAAAGTAAGTCAAAGTGATACAAACCATAGGGTTTGTTGATGGTGAAAGGATGGGATGCAGTTGGGAAATTCACTGTAACTTGGGATGACCAGTCTCTGTTCTAGTAGGCATGATTATTTTGGCATGTATAAATTACTGGATCATCTAAAACATAATTCTGGAATTAAGCATGATTTAGCTTAAGGTTTTTAAAACAAACAGTGAAGACTATCACATGCCATGCAAAAGTACAGCAAAATAAAAAGTTGATTTTTTTTTCTCCTGGAAAGTATTTCTTTGTTGTCTTTTAGTATATTCATTAGCTATAATAAGGCTACCACAGTGTCCTTTATTGCACATCACTGTCTGCTGAGCTGACCTGCATGTAGGAACCCTGTGCTCAGTTCTAACTTCACTTGTCCAGTGAAATGTGTCATGAATGTTGTTTCTGCCTTTCTTTGTTTGCTTCCCTTAAATGAGGACACTTAAATATCATCATGTTGTCTGGGCTAGAATTGTCTTCATTCCCTACTTGCCCTTACCTCCTTCATCTCCACCTCCACCCCTGTCCCGTGTGCCCACTAGAGATCAATCACTGTGCCACCGAGAGAGGACAGAGCAGGGAGGGGCTGCACTGCCTGGGGTGCCTGAAAGGAGGTCCACAACCAGCCCAACACCCCGCAGAGAGGACTGGCTTGACTCTATTCACAAGTTCCGCTTTCATCACCCTCAGAACACGTCAACCTGCCCAAGCACCGTACCCATCTGAGCTTTGCCTTTCTCACGCTTCGCTGAGGAAGGTCTTGATCAAGCTTCCTGTATTTGGCCTCCCTATCAGCTCCCTTTCTAGTACTATTGGCATTAAAGGCAAACTGATATTTGCAGAAGGATGACTTCAATTGTCACCATCACAGGTCGATTAATTGGTGGCAAGTGTCATTCATTTGTATCTGTCACTTAGGGAATCTCGAGAGTCACTTAACTTGAAATTAAATTAAGCACAAGTGTGACCCTTCTGCTTTGGAGGATGTGGAGAACTGTTTTTCTTCTTGTTCTCAGCTATCTCTCTGGGCACTTAGTAAACTGAATTCCTTGTCTAGGTGCATGCAGGCTTCAAACATTACCTCATAGGGTTCTTCCTTTACTAAACCAAAGTTGTGTTGTTTTATAATCATTTTCCTTCTGGGATAAATTGATTGGACCATTCAGGAAGGACTTGAGTTGTCTTTACAAGTCATAGGTGGAGTGCTCTATTTACCAATGATTCTCTTACATAACTTTTACTAATGCTGTTAACAGTTAAAGGCAAGCAAAGTGTCTGCATCGCAGATAGCGTTGGATTAAGTCACTTCACTTTTCACTTAGCTGGTTATGGTAAATGGTAGAAAGGTAAGGATTAGAAAATAATCTGTATTTTTCAAATTGTCTCTTTATGGACAGGTTAATTATCAGAAGAGATCACTTACTAGAAGATGCTTTTAATCAGATTATGGGCTACTCCAGAAAAGACCTGCAGAGAAATAAGCTGTATGTCACCTTCGTCGGGGAGGAAGGGTGAGTAGAACAGAGAAGTGGCCTGGAGAACACAGGCTGAGGCTGTGGAGCGGATGTTTCACCACATGGTCGCTGCGGTTGCCTGAAACAGGAAATCCTTCTGGCAGGAAATGCCATTCTCATACACTTCAACTTCTCAGGTTTTTTTTTAAGCCTTCCTCTGGTTTTTAAATCATTTGACATAGAAATTCTTTGGTAAACACTGTAACTATAGATCATTTTTGAGAGCAGAAGTCTGGTTTCTTCTCTCTCACAGAGAAAAAGTGAGGCTTTGAGGAAAAAAATTAAGAACTGCATTCTAACATCTGATCTTGTTCCCTACACTGAGATATGAGTGGATGCACTTCACCTGTGAAATAAGCTCAGTTTCGGAATCACAAATCAGATTCCTGCTGCTCTACCAGGAAGCCTCCACTGCAATAACTCTTGGGCCTTGGTTCTTATTTCTCTGCCCCAGTTTTCCTCTTCCTCCAGGTTGGCAACCCTCCTACCTGCCATAAACAAATGTCTCCAACCTTCCATGACTCTTCCGTGAGTGTGCGCATATAGATAAGGGTTAGGAAATGCAGAAGTGGGGACTCCCACACAGGGTTCACTGCAGCCAAGTAGATGTAACAGTTGTTATATAACTCCAGGAGATGACAGCTCCCATCTCTCCCAGACCCCATCCTCTTTCCTCATTACAGGTCTGAGGAGAGTCTCAGCAGCTTCTCTGTAAGCCAGCCAATTCCAGAGTGTGCTTAAGAAGCCATGACCTGGGCTCTGGGTGCCTTCACTCCGGTGACTTGGATCGTTTTAAAGCTGCCCCCTCAGTCATGCCCAGGAATAACGTGTGTTAGATTATGGAATTGGAGTATTGTTAGCTATCAAATTCAACCATACAGTTGAAGAAACAGAGGCTCCAAAGTTTAAAATAACTAGATGTGCTAATGGAACTAGATAACAACACAATTGGAATTCAAAAGTAAGCCTTTTGTTTTTCATCCGAGACTCTTGGACCAACACAGGGATGTCAGCCAGAACTCCTGAACTCTGATCTCTGTGAATTTTTCCTACCTATGGATCTTTTCACTCTTCCGAGTCAGTGACTGATAACTTCTGCTCTTGTCACATGTACTGCTAATAGTCTTCCAGCTATGACTAGATTAAAGTAAATACTATATGGGGAAACAATGTAACATGACAACATTTGGGCAGAAGCTTGCGTGAGACTGGAGCCTCCATTTCTGACATGTGTTAATGCACTTCTAGCTGTGTTCGTTGGCTTAAAGATGCAGGTGCACAATTGAAAATGAAGCCAAATGCTTTTAGCCTAATCACAGATATGCATGGGATTCCAAGTATTTTGTTACATAACCAGTCTGGTTTGGATGGGAGTGCATTTCCTCCCTCAGAACTCCAGCTGCTTTCCTTCTGTGTTGGAGCACTGTTTGTTGAGGTTCTGAGATATGGGGAAGAGTCTTTGGTGGCCCTGGTACTTATATTTGAATAGAACAGATGCTTATCATGCTTGATTTTCTGAAAGCAGTTGCCTGTGATCTGGACTGATGATGTCCATTGCTAGGAGGGGGCCTAGCCTGAGTGGGGCTTGATACCTCTGTATATGATTGCCCCTAATATCCAAATGCTTCTGCTTCCCTCACCTGTCTCCTTCATGTAACCCCAGAGGGAAAACAAGGGGGAGAACAGTTTGAAATGTGACCTTGGCCATCATGACCAATCGCTTAATCAGGCCCCTCTGTGTGTGGCTTGTTGAAGCTGGAATGGGGCTAGGAAATTTCTGGTCTCATGGCTTTGTCATGTCAATATCATACATGTAAATTATTAGATACAAACTTTATTTTGGTGTTAAATCATTGAGAATGCATGTACACTTTTGAAAGATTAAAGTAGTACTGTTGCTGGAAAAAAAGAAACTTTAAAATAACATAAAATTTAGAAGTTATTTTAGCCTTAGCCCTTTTTCAAACATAGTGATTCTATCACATTAAAGTTAAAGTTTATAGCATTTCTTTCAGGATTATAGTAAGTTCCCAAAGTGGAAAAACCTACCTAATTTTTTCTATGTAACTATAAAAATGGAGCTGGAAGTTTTCTGTCACTTTCCTTTAGTTAATTTTAATGCCCTCAAAATGTGTCCTTTTCTAAGTTCTTCTTGTCTGGCTATAGTAATAGGTATTTAAAAACATATACACCTAGTGCCCAGATCTTGGTTTCTAACATGAGTCTCCAATAAAAGGACCCAGGGCTCCTTGGAGAAATGACTGATTCTAGGACCCAGTCAGGAAATGTAGAAGATAGAGCTGAAAGTATCTTGTAGTGCCAGAAAGTAAAGAAATGTTAAAAAATGTCCACAGTGAGAGAGGCATGTCAAAGGGACTCAAAGATCAACTGAAAGAGCTCATGATAGTTAAAACTAGAATAATTTGATCAACAAAATAAAGTAGTATTGGGTCATAAGCAAAAGTATAAAATAAATATCTTTACTGATATAATTACGATTGAATAAATAAATAAATGGAGGAGAATAGACAAATCTTCTGTGCAGAAGATTCCATGTAATTCAGCATAAGTCCCTACCCTATAATTGTGGGCTCCATGTATTGACTTCCTTCCAAGTAGTACAGTGTGGGAAGGGGAAAAAGCAGTAAGTCTTTGGTAGAGATGCTAGGTGATCAAGGCTAAAATCAACAGTGATACATCGTATTAATATGTACTCAGTATTACTGCTTTGATGAAAACGGCCCTTTACCTCTGTAGTCTTCCTAACAAAAGCCCATTACTCAGCCTAATCACAAAGTAAAATTATCAAATAAATCCAATTCGAGGCACATGCTTCAAGATCCCTTCCCAGTACTCCTTAACACTGTCAAGGTTGTCAAAAACCAGAATAGGCTGAGAAACTGTCACAGCCAAGAGGAGCTGAAGGAAACATGACAGTTAAATATAATAAGGTATTTAGGATGGGATCCTGGAATGGAAAGGGGGCATCAGGTAAAAACTAAGGAAATCTGAATGAAGCATGGATTTTAGTTTAATAATAATGTATCAATATTGGTTCATTAATTTTAACAAAGGTACTCTACTAATGTAAGATGCTAACAAGAGAAAAACTTGTTGTGAGGCATTCTTCACACTATCTTTGCAACTTTTCTGTAAATCAAAAACTATCCTACAATAAGATATTTATTAAAAGAAAGCATATAGTCAGGATTTGGGGAGATTTGGGAAATGTTTCTCTGAATGACTTCTCTTATTTTCCTGTTGTCTGATGAGTGATTGGCACCAGGGTAATTTTTAGTATGTGTATAAATACTTACTTCTACACTTGAGGTCAGTAGAGTAATAAGTGTGTCGTGTGTAAATACATATATATTTTCAATTATAATATATAACATTATATATATTGTATATATTTATAAGATATATATATATATATGCAATTGATTCTGTGGAAAGTCCAATTTAGTAGGGGTATTGCCATGTAGAGTATATTACTTTGTGTTTCTGATGTCCACTTTATGTTACCTATAAGGGAAAAAAATACTTTGCAATTCCTATTGATACCATCTCTATGATTATATTTTCTACCTATCATAATCAGTGTCTTTCTTTATAATAGAAAGAGAGGATTTATTTTTAAGAATATTATATCTGCCTGTACTCCAAAAAGGTGTGAATTAGCAGATTCACAGACTTTAGCTCTGCTTTGTTTCTTCGCTGAGGTCTGAAACATGATAGAGATTACTTCTGAGATGGAAGAGCTGAGTCAAAAGAAATGATGGGAAAATATGTAGGCAGAAGTTCATGGGATAATTACAAATTACATGTGAAATAGAAGTAATCCCAGAATGTTAGGGATACCTATATTTATTTTAAAAATACACAAATAATCCTAGAACCTGTTAATGCAAACATATTCATTGACAATTAACTAATTATTATTTTTCACTAAAATAATGCTTCATGTCATGAAAATGCTTGGCTTCTTACAAAAAGAGATAATTTCTAAGCAAACCACTGTGATTTAATTTGGGCAGAATTCGAAGTTCTGTTCTTGTTAAAATTTCCCTCAACTTAATTTGGTTTTCTGCCTTTGCAAAGAGGGAAGGAAGGGGTGTCAGCAGTGGTGGAGTGGCTGGAAACTGAGTCAGCGTGATGAATGTGGGGGAAAACCACACTCTGTGGCTGCCTCTGCTCTTGGCCTTGGTCTACCTAGAAGCTGCTTCTTTAGAAAGGGGGCCAGTAGAGCACCACGTATTCTTTAGTGTATTATTTTCTGCTGAGTTAAAATTCCTAGCAACTAAAGCTTATATGGTGTTAAAAGATAGCTAGGTAAACTCTTGTGTTCTGATAAGGCATCCTGGGCCATTAACTTCTTAGTATCCAAAACAGTAAGGAAATAATGGCCTGGATAAAGAGAGGATGTTTACACTGTGATTGCCTCACCTTTTTTCCTCCATGGCCAACTCTGTAAAAAGGCACCTTTCTTTAAGAAAGAATGAGTCCACTATTTGTAAGGTGCTATCCATATGACATCAATCATCTGTTTTGCAAAGCCACACTTAGCCTAGGAAGAGGATGTGCGCAGTTTGGTTTGGTGTTTTAAAAACAGATGAGCCCTTTTTGTGATATTTCTCCTGAGACAGGCAAATGAAAGCAGCTAGGGAGGATGGGGTCTGAAATGGTTTTCCCGCGTCCTGCATATAAAATGGCCAGTAGCTCTTATGAATGACTGGTCTCATCCGTACTAGAAGTTGTTTGGGGTCCTGAGTTTAATCATTTCTTCCTCAGAAATGTGTAAAGCATCATGTTAAGCTTTATAATGATGCTTTTTTTCTTCCAAGATGAGACATTGGCAGGATAGTGTAAATGACCCAAACCTTGCTGGAAAAGGGTGCTTCTGTATCTCAGCTTTTGCTTGGTGTCACTAAGTGAAACTGTCATATTAACTGGTCACCAAATTCCTTACCAACCAGGCCTTCTTAAGTGACTCAAGAACTAATGCCTTGCTGCTGTAAATATCTGAAAGTGAATCAGAAAGTACATGGGCCATCCTTGCCTGAACCAGCCTGTAAGAAAGCAAAGCTTTCTGTCTTGTAGGAAGTGACCGTATGACTTCCCAGTGCCAATGTCTTTGATTTTATAGTCTGCTTCCACTGAAATGCTTTGTTTTCAGCATTTTTTTGGTTAAAAAAAAAAGAACAGGAGGATAAAGTTAATTATTTTAACCAATATTGGAGGCCACTAACAATTTGGGTGGTTGGTCCAATAACGTGATGGTGTTTAAAATGCTTTATCAGCATGTTAGGGGGCTCAAAATTACACTGTCACCCTAAAGACATCTGTGCTTATGCCGAAATGCCCTCCGATGCAGCTGTTGTGTGCTACACACCCATTGTCCAGAGTTTCCATATTTCCGTGCCAAGCCTTTAGCTGTGGAACCAACCTAACTGGCAAAACAGGAATGTAACAAATGATCCCTGTGATATGAGTCATATTAACTATTTATATGGACATGGTTGCTAAGACGTTACAGGAAGCGCAAGCAGGAGGTACTCTGCTAGGACATGTCTTGTTGAATTAGGTAGACATACATAATGTGTAATCTACAACCTGCTGTCTGATATGTAGTTGAAGGTTTTGGATTATAATCAAATCAAGCTAATGGCTGTCTTGGCTTTAGAATGACTCTATCAGTGCTGCTAGAGTTAAAACCCAGCAGATAAAAACCTGACCAGTTGAGGAAGATACTTTTTCCTCTTAGAGGAACTGTTAGCTTTGTTCTCTCTTGGGAAAAAAGTTTTACTTTTCAACCTAAATCCTCAGGGAACTTCAGCTAGATTCAACTGTTATTATAAAAAACGGATTGGTGATATCCATCTTTATTGTTTTAACAAATTTTCCCATATTAGAAGATATCAGACCTAGAAATGACAAGCACCAAACTCTCTAAACATCACTCACTTGTGTGAATTCTAACAGTGTGTGCCAGCTGAGTAGTCCTTTGGGCGTTGGCATAACCTATTGATGTATTGAATCAACATTCCACCCAAAGGCAAACCTGTGCAAAATTATTCACTCCGCTAGATGTCAAATAACAGTATAAATATTTGGATTGTCTTTAGAGAGTATCAGAGAGCTCCACTCATGGATTTAACAATATACAGAAAACCCCTACTGTTTATCAGGCTGAATACTTGGAATATAAATATGAGAAAGACAGAGTCCCTGCCCTTAGTATGGTTACAGTCTAGGTGTGTGTATAGTAGAGGCAGACACCTAAACAAATAATTATAATGCATTCTAACAAGTGCAGAATTATTAAAACATTGAGAGTTGACACTCAAAGAAAACCTGCTATTCCTAGCCTTTACTCTTCTCTGCAATGAAATGAAAGGATGCACACAATAAAACTTCTAAGATGCATTTGACTGGCATTCTCTATTTCTGGAAAGACACAAGGTCTGCTGATGAAATTCACCATGGATAGGAAATTTAGAGACATGTTTTGCATCCACAGGGACCCGGGTAGACAACATGGACTAAGTCTCACACAGCAAAATTTAGTAGGGAAAAGTATAAAGTTTAGTACTTATGTTAAAAAGGTACAGCCACATGCAGAAAGGATGGGCGAGTCCTAGGTTAAAGCAGCATAGGTGAAAGGTTTGAGCTGATGACTAGCTCATTATGAGTCAACAAAGTAAAGTGGCTGCTCCACAAGGCAGGGTAATTTTGAGCTGCATTAGTGGAGAGAAGCATCCAGGAAGAGAGGGCAAGAGCCCTTTCTAAGCTCTGTGCTGACGAGACCAAACCTTGAGTGTTGTGATCAGTACTAGGTCAGACTTTGACTTACTGGAGAGTGTCCAGAGCAGAGAGACCAGGGTGGCTAGGGAATTCCCAGCCCGGCCTTGAAAGAAAAGTGGCCTTGTCAGGAGTAGACAAGGAGGCCTGAGCAGGTAGAGACCAGGGATACAGAAACTGCTAACCTTAGAATTCCTACAGAAAAATGACTTTTCAAAAATTTTATATCTTTAGCGTCTAGATTAGTACCCCATACATAATAGGCACTCAAATATTTGTTGAAAGAAAGCCTGTAAGTATGTGAAGAACATTCAAGTGGAAGTATTCTGCTCGTTCCTGGTGGCGTCAGAGACCAGAACTAGGTCCGCGGCAGGAAGCCAGGGAAGCGCAGGGGCCTCCTTGTGAGGAGGAAGAGTCTGCATTCTTGCCCCCGGGGTGGGGGGTGGGCAGCCAGAGTGTGCCTGCTTCGGAAGTCCCGGGGGAATCTGAGCATGGGCCTGTGGCCACAGGGTAGCCACATTCTCTTCAGCTGCCCCGGAAGGCAGTTCCGTGTCATCGCCTTTAGGCCTCTTTGGCCCTGAGAGTCGTCGGTGTTTGCATTTTTCTGCACACATAGGTTTCCTGTCAGTCTACACTTGTCATCTCCCCGAGTGCAGTGTGGGCTGGTGATGTGTGAGATGATTTTAGCTACTATACAGACTTTTTTATCTTAACATTTATGTGTATTATTAACATTTATGTGTATTATTGTGTATTAGAAAAAAAGCTGGCACATCATAATTTCATAAATATTGTAGAAGACAAGGCGACATTGGAAAAGCAAGTAAATTTAAAGTTGATTTAATGAAAAATAATAGGTAAATAACAGTATATACATATACAGATATAGCAAAAATTGAAAAAGGAGAATATGAAAGAAAGTCAGCTCTAAGTAGTTTCTATTAAACTCTCAACTAGGACATAAAAAAGCCATTTTATTTCTCTTATTGTATTCCAACTCTTTCTTCCACCTATAATAGGATATTTTTCTCTACCCCACAATCCCATCACTGAACAAACAAGACTCAGATGATTTTTTTTCTTTTCATTCGCACACACACACACACACACACATACACACGCACACACACACACACACACTTCCCCCACAGTAATGCCCATGGAGGAAATTCCATAAGAGAAAAAAAAAATGGACAAAAGAAGTCTTATAAGATCTTACCACCCCAACTTATCTGTTGCTTTCATTCCTCCTTCAGCATTCCTTCTTGTCTCTGATCCCATGGGTGAACTTTTTATCACAGGGTAGTTCTCACTTTAATTTCAGCGTATCAAATTGCTTTACTCCTCTTTACTACATATTTTGCTTTCGACCTTCTTGGCCACTTGTCATTCCTCAAACCTAACCCAATTGTTTCTCATACTTCACTTTGACCCTGATGTCTTTGTAAGTAAAATGGAATTTTCACTGTACTTTAGGTGCTAGAGTTTCAGCTTCTTCTCCAAATACCTTCCTTAGGAAGCTTTAGACACCCTCATTTTTCTTGTCTATAATTTCCTTGGTGTTTTATAACTTAAAGTTTTCACTTGATCCTTATCATTCCATTTTTTGCCTCTGATTTCCCTAGGCAGCCTAGCCTAGTATCTGTAATATCCCCTCAGCAATTCCCTAACATGTCTTTCACTCTCCATTTAAAAATGTCTCAGAGATCCATGCAAACACATTGTCCCATGTGTATATGTAGCCAATGCCCTCTAGATTTACCATTTAAATAACACATTCCCACTTTACTCCCTTCCCCCATACCCTCACTGCAGACATTTAAAATATTTACCTCTTTAGACATACTTATACAATTAAATTTATTAGCATATTGTCTATTTTTTCATTATGTGATGTTAACTTTGGGTATGCTTCGCAAAAATGTCCATTTTGCTAGTTTGGGTTGAGACGTGGATGAGCTCAGGAATCATCATTGTTCGGTTTATTTTGGATAGTTAGACTTGTAATGAGTGTTCTATAGAAAGCTAAGCTGTAGGAAATGTGCCCAATATAGAGAAAAAAATGTTAACTGTTTTTTTTGTGTGTGGATTTTTTAAAAGGCTGGATTACAGTGGACCTTCCAGAGAGTTTTTCTTCCTGGTGTCCAGAGAACTCTTTAACCCATATTATGGCTTATTTGAATATTCAGCCAATGATACATACACAGTACAAATAAGTCCCATGTCTGCTTTTGTTGACAATCACCATGAGTGGTAAGTATCTTCTCCCCTAATCTTTTCTTCAGTTGAATTTCTGTGATAATAGTTTTTATAAGAACCCAAATTTCTTTTAACATTTTTTTCTTTGGAGGAAATAGTATTTTTAGTTAAGTAAAATGTTTTCATTGCCAAATTTAAATATATAGACAGTCTCCAAGCTAGGAATAGATTATGTTCCAGAAGACCAATTTTAAGTGAGCTGGGTGGAATTCAAAAGGTTTTCCCACTGAAAGAAAGTTACAGATGATGATAGGTTCCTGGTGAGATCCCTAAGTCCCTCTGCACCTTAGGACATCTCTGAGCTCTGATGCAGCATGGAGTCAGTAGGGGAAGGTCCTGACCCAGAGATTAGGAAGCTTCTAGAGCAGCCCTTGGGGAAGTGGCCAACACTGGTGGGAGAAGCAGGACAGCTGGGCTGCTGGCTGAGGTCCTGATGGTATTGTAGTGAGAGGCCGGGTAGCCTGGAGGAACCAAGGTGGGAGAGAGCCCGGCAGAAGGCAGGAGTGCAGGAGTTCCGGCAGAGGCTGCTTACCCTATTAGCCATTTGAAACTGGTAACCAGGGATTGCCCCTTTCCTAAATTCTCATACAAAATCATCAAGGAAAACTGGTAGAGGATTCCCATCTGGGGATTATTCATTCAGAAAATCACAAATTATGATTTTCTTCTCAAATGTCCTTATATTTCTTTTAAATCCCTGCATTTATAAACTTGAAATATTTTTATAACCCCTGTTCGCTTGTTTCTGTTCATTTTCACTGATAGTAGTCAAAGAAGAACATGAATAGGACTCACAGAAGAAGTTTCTTTGAGTCATGAGGTTAATATTGGCAGGTGAAGGGTGTTAATGTTTAGGATTTATTCTTCAAATTGACATCCGTTTAGCTACAATTTGGAATCCTCCTAGCTACAGCTATTGCAGTTATGCTAACGTAAGTGGAAATAAAGAAAAACAAAGCTGCTGGACATTAATCTTGAAACAGCTGCCTAATACCAAAATTACAAATTGACAGTATGAACCTCAGTGTGGATTTATACTTTTGGAAGACATCAGATTTTCAAAGAGCTAGAAACTTGAATACTTTTGATAGAGAAAATAAGTGTACATCTCAGTCAGCAAACCCAGTCATGAGAGATATATTGAATAAAGTTTCCAAAGTGATTCAGAATAGAATTGAGCCTTGAAATTTTAGAGAACAGAATGTCCCATGAGGAAACTCCCCCAAATGTCCACATGCATAGTTCTTAGAGGGTGACAATTACCATCAGGAGTGGGTTTGAAAGAAAATAGCGAAAGGAATTGTTTCATTCTGAGATTGGGTTTTTGCTCAAAAGGGAATTGCTTCTGGGTTTGTATTAGAGAAATCCTACTAATATTCATGCAGGCGGACTAGGAGGGGACAACATTTTCCTCACCACCACTGGTCTCATTCTGTCAACATCTGTTAGAAGTGGTTTGGGGAAATCACTGGCACACTAATGGGGAATTCATCCTGGCCATGTTGGGTGCTCTATGGGGGACATTATTGACTCACTCTGAGTCCCTCTAAATATCAGAGTGAAAGAAACAGATTTCTTCAACAAGTATCTGTGATTATTGGCCTAATGAAGACAGCCTACAATGCATACAAACTTGTGGACCTATTAGGCAATTAATCTTGGACAAACTTAGATGGTTAGATCTGGATGGTGTTCTAGAAAGCAAATAGAACCATTTAGACACATGGTGATATGTAAGCTATCTCCTGCTTTCCGCTCACAGGTTCCGGTTCAGCGGTAGGATCCTCGGTCTTGCCCTAATACACCAGTATCTGCTGGATGCCTTCTTCACACGGCCCTTTTATAAGGCTCTTCTCAGAATGTAAGAGCATTTTTATTGCTTATGTAATTAGCATGTAAGAATGCAATATTTTCTTTATTGAAAAGGGTCATTTACAAATATCATTTATCTGCTCATTCTCAAATCTGTTGTTATTAAACTTAATAGTGCTTTAGATTTCTGAAACGAATACAATTTTAAATACATTACTGTAGTTTTCCTTCTTTTGATCCTTTATTCTCATCTCACTGCCAAAATCTTAGTTTTGTTCTACTCCAAATAATATTCTTGTTGGTGGCAACACATGTTTCTTCAACACATTTATGTTTCAAATGCAGCACTGGAATTCCTGTATCCTTAATGCTGATTAAGAGTAACTTATTTGTGGGTTAGTCTTGGTGACTCACAGCCCCCTTTCCTTTACTAGATGCATTTTATATTTTGCTTTGTGCATACTTTCAACTGCTTACTCTTGGTTCAAATTTTCCTTCTCTTTTGTTTTTGTCTTATTTTTGTTTATTTCTTCATTAGCAGTGAGAGTCCCATATTTTTCTTGAGACCTCCCTAAAGGCAAGACAGTATAATTTATGATGGCGGATGAAAATTCAACATTCACAGAACTTTTTTCATTGTTATTACAGTGAAAGATTGCAATTATTGCAAGATGTAGAACAAGCAGTTTCTGTCCTGTAGTCAGTAGTCATTTACAAGGCCGAACAGGAGCAGGCAACTGTCTGTAGGGTGGGGTAGTAGCTCAAACTTGTGATGAGGAAGCACGGAATGATTGCTTGGTTCTGTCCTCCTCATTCCCTAACCAAAGGCTACGTACCTGCATTTTTTTTTTTTTTGCCATTTATTGTGTTTATTCTCTGCTTTCATATACATCAAGTAATATGTTAAATGCTTCAACATTTTTGCAGATTTATTATTTGTCATAAAAGAAATAGCCCCAAAGCATTTGCCAGATCATTCTCTACATACTACTTGAAGACACAGATCATTATAAATACAATTTGAACTTCTAATGCACACTTCTTCAATTGCATTTTCCTCCCTGCTCTTGAGAGATAACCATAATCTTAAGCTTGGCAATTATCATTCCCATGTCTTTTTTTTTTTTAAGTTGAAGTATTGTTGATATACAATCTTATATTGGTTTCAAGTATTCAACACAGTGGTTCAATAGTGACCCATATTATGAAATCCTTACACCCACTAGTGCAGTTACTATATGTCAACATAGGAAGATGTTAGAGAATCATTGGCTATATTCTACATTCTGACATACCTGCTTTCTGTAAAATGGAAGCCTAGACCCCAAATGAAAACAAAATTTTTCAAACGGGCTCTTAAGTGGGTCAGTAGACTTTGCTTTTCCCCTTTTTGGTGTCTGGTCAGAGGAAGCCCTAGGCAACTGGGCACTGGCCATCTGCTGCCCTAGTTCCCCTAGGCCCATTTTGTATCTTCCCATCTCATTGCCCTATCTCCCATCTTCTCACTTGAGCTTCCCAAAAGAGTAGTCTATTCCAACTCTTGACATACCGTCAACACACTTTAGCCTGGCTTCTTTCCACTAGTAAATTCTGGAAGCTTTTCAAGAATATTTTTCATTCCTTATCTTAATGGACCATTCTACTGCTTTTGACACAGTTGTCCGCTGCAGCTCCCACCCATGCATCATGAATCTCCTCCTCTGGTGTCCACGACACTGTGCTTCCGCTGTTCTCCTTTTGTATCTCCTTTGAGGGCTTTTCCTCTAACTTACCCTTAAGCCAAATTATTCCTGAAGCTTCCATTCTTAGCCCTCTGCTTTTCTCTCTCCATGTGCTCTCATGGAGAAATCTCTTTACCCATCTCATGTCCCATTGACTCAAATCTGTACCCTCAGTCTTGATTTCCTTTGAGTTGTAGGTTCAGTTGGTCAACATTCCACTGAATATCTCCACTTGCAAGTCTCACAAGTACCTAAAAATCAACACGGTTAAAACTAAACCCATTGATTTCCCCTGACCTAAAAATATACCTTCTCCCATAGTCATAGTTCATGGTGCTGATACTATCAAGTCACTCTAGTCAGAAATTGGGAGTCACCCTCAAATCAGAGGTGGCAAATATACAGCACAGGTTCCTCTTTTCCCTACCTCCCACCCCATTCCCATGGTGTAGCTCACAAATTCTTTATGGTACTTCTTCCTGCAGAACTCGTGGTGGACTCAGGAATGTTTTCAACATAAGCCCTTAAGCCTGGCAAGTAATCGGAGTTGGCTTGCAACAGGAGTTCATTTGCACCTCTATTTTAGATAGCCTTTATATCCCCCAGTAAAGCCATTTACTAATTTCCATATTTACCTCCTAAATAATTATTAAATGTTCTCCTCTCCAACCTTAATAACTGTGCCCTAATTAAAACCCTTATTTTATTTTGACCAGATGACTGTTGTGGTCTATTAATCAGTCTCTAATAATAACCACCACCCCCCATTTTAATCCTTTACAGTGCAACTTCCAGAGAAACAATTTAAAGTCACATCTCACATCTGATCATACCATTCCCTGTCCTAAAACCCTTCAGTAGTTCTGAATCACCATGCTCTTCAAAGTGACATTCAAGGCCTGCTCCCTGCTCCCTTTCCAGCCTCATTCTCTGGACATTCTGCACGGGTGTTAACCCTGGTATAGTCAGTATGCACGGAGTAGTCTGCATGCTCCAGGCCTGTGCACTTAGTTCATGTTGCTCTCCCCTTCTCTCTCCTCTCTTTTCCCCATCCTCCTCTTTTTCATCCATTCTGCTTTACCTCTCTAGCTTTTAAACAGCCTGGACAATTTAATGTAGGTATCATCTTCTCCAAAAAGCTTTTCCTGAATCTCCAGTATGAAGTAAATGTCCTACATTTTACTGTGATAGCTCCCTATATCTTCCTTATCTTTGTTTTAATTGCAGTTTAAAATATATTAGAAAAAGGGACATAAATCATAACTGTTACCCACCTTAGACTATCATTTAGAGCCTTATATTAACTTACCTATTTATCTACCTGCCTCCCCAACTAGATCATTAGCTCTTTGAGGGCAATAACTGTTTAAAGTAGCTATTAAGATGTCAGGCACATACTTGATGCCTAATAAATGTTTAGACAGACCCAAACAAAGTGGCCTTTGACATTAGGCTGATGGGAGGAGACTTCAGAACAACTAAAGCACATCAATTGCTGTACCTACCAACAGGGCCATCTAATAGCAACTCCACTTCATGCAGATACTCTGTAAGTAATGATAAAAGAGGAGAGAAATATTAAAAATTCATTGTAATTATAGAGAGATTCTGTGACTTGTAATCACTGAAAGAGTAAGAACCCTGAACAAAAAGGGGATATATATGAATGTGGATCACAGAATCTAGTATTTGGGAGAAAAACAGTTAAAGTACAGTATAGAAATACATAAAGAATTTCTAATTAAGGGAACAATATTTTTAGGTAGTATGATGTAGCCAAAAGAATACTAAACCCAAGTTGTCAACCCAAGTTCAAGTTCCCACTCTGGCACTAATTGTGGGTGACTGTGCAAAGGGCAGCCACATCTTTGCACCTCCAATTCTGTGTCCATAAAAGAAAGGAAAGGCTGAGTGATTTCTCAGGCATTTTGTATAATAACTCAGGATTTTTAAATGTTATACCAAATTTCTGATTTATTTCACTGGTTTAGTTATTGAATTTGACTAAGAATATTCCAGAAATTACTGCCTATTTAGTTGATCATGCTCTTTAATTCTTAGTTTCTTTTGTCATGACTCTGGGGTTTGCTCATCGCCATGCCTACCTATTTGTTTCTACCGGTTTATTATCTTAGTCTGTGTGACCTGAGTGATCTAGAGTACCTTGATGAAGAGTTTCACCAGAGCCTGCAGTGGATGAAAGACAATGATATCCATGACATCCTGGACCTCACATTCACTGTGAATGAAGAAGTTTTTGGGCAGGTCTGTGTATGTGAAAATTGGTGACTAAATGTGTTAATTAAAAACTATTGGTTGGAAAAGAATTAATTCAGTAGCTAAGATCACATGTTTATTTACTTGTGGCTTGTCAGGTGGTTTAAATCCAGATTTATGTACAGTTACAATATCTTGGTTACAAAGATTCTGTTAATGCCAACTACAGATTAAGATGTTCTAATGTACAGATTGTGATAACTAATTGTGTATTGTAAGCAATCTTCTTATTTCCAGCTAAAATAGCCACATGATATTAAGATGTGCTTTGTATAAAATACAGTTTTTAAAAGTCCATGTCACCGTAGAATTGAATATTAAATTATTTAATTGGCATTTACATTTAACTGTTATTCGTATTTAAGAATTTGAAATTGACTGTTTTGAAGTTGACGGAAAGTAAATAATACTTTGGTAAAGGTTTGAAAAAATACTGTTTTTTTCAAAGTTGGTAAAAGGGTTGGTTTAAAGGTTTCAGATATTATATACTAACTCAAAAGTAATATTCTTATTTAGACATTACTAATTACCTGGTCTTCTGAAGAAGTTCTCAACTTAACATTCTCTTGAATGTAATTCTGCTTCCTTAAAGTAAATCTTTACTTAAGTACTGGCTTTCTGTATGTAGTTGATTCTGAACCCTAAAGGAATTTGTGAAAGTATGTTTTTGTCCAACGTTCAAATAGCGGTGGGCCAAAACCTGGAGCCAATTTATTTTCATTTAAAGGACTTATTTGTTTAGTCAGGATTTAAAACTTTATCTTCAGTACTTGCAGTTTTATTAACCACTGAGGCTTTCAGGCATCAGCTGGATGCTTAGTTTTTAAGTGAGCATCGGCGTGTGCCTGGGCTCCGCGCCCACCCCCAGTGTGTGATGCGCCCAGGCCAGGGCAGGCAGGGGTAGGGTAGCGCTGGGTTCAGCTCACTGGGTTTCAGCAGTGTTCTTACAGCATCAGTCCTGCTTCATGGTCAGTGCTTGTGTCTTTTAATCTCAGATTACCGAACGAGAATTAAAACCAGGGGGTGCCAATATCCCAGTCACAGAGAAGAACAAGAAGGAGTACATCGAGAGGATGGTGAAATGGAGGATTGAGAGGGGTGTTGTACAACAAACAGAGAGCTTAGTGCGTGGCTTCTATGAGGTAAACACAGTCAGTGGGAGTGGGGTTTTATATTCTCATACCCAGTTCATCTTACTGTACTTTATGCAGTATTTCCATTTTTCTTTTTCTGTATTTACTGTTGGTGTTTTTCAAGAGCACAAAAAGCAGATTATCAAAGTGAGAAAAAATGAAGCTTAATACCCTGTTGAAAGAGATCATTGAAATAAAATGACCTGAACTCAAGTAGCATTTGGTAATTTAGTGGCCACTGATAACATTCAAGTCAACTGTCTTACTTATGCTTAGATACTGGAAATCAAATCTTGTGCTAGATATGGAAAATGATTGTATCCGAGGGTCAGAGTGGTTGTTACAAGTACTCCCTGTGACTTCTTCTGTAGGAGCACTAGGTCTTTTTCAAAAGAGAAACCCAAAGTAGATTAATCAGTGGTCAATTGTAAAACAAAAATTCCATTGAGGAAAATCTCATCACCCTTGTACTAAAAACACCTTGTGTTTTATAGAGAGCTTTACGGTTTTTCATGTGCCTACCCAGAGCACTTTCACAGTATTCCCAAAACTCCTCGTGTCCTCCTTTTCCGATGAGGTCTTACAATAGCTGAGATGTCTCCAGATTCTTTAGCCATGCCCTGTATTCTTTTTATTCCACAGGTGGTGGATGCCAGGCTGGTATCTGTTTTTGATGCAAGAGAACTAGAGCTGGTCATCGCAGGCACAGCTGAAATAGACCTAAGTGATTGGAGAAACAACACCGAATATCGAGGAGGTGAAATTTGGTTTATAGACGGCTGGATTTTAAGGTTCAAATTAAAGAGAGGCAAATGGCTCGGCATGCCAGTCTGAACCCCAGGCAGGCAAAAGCCTCCCACTCTGTAAACATAGGTCTGTAGTAGTCTCTTGAGACCTTGGGCAAGGTACGTTCCCTTCTTTTCCTAGTTACCTCATCTGTCAAGAGGAGGAAGGACTGTTTACACACCAGCTAAAGATGCTATAACTTTTAATTGTTGGTGAAGAAATGTGACCTAAGAACACTGATTAATTGTTTTATGGTGCTATTAGTGAGGCACCAGGGAGCTCACACCCAGCTGGTCAAACTCCACCTCTTCTACCTTCATTCTAAAATTTGAAGAGGCACACCCTCTGAGCTTCCTAATGAACAGTTTTTCTACATTTCACTGAACTGCTGATCAGCTGTAATTCATGGTTGAAACACATGAATGAAATAAGACATGCTTTTCAAAAAAATTCAAGAAGTTTCTTGAACAAGCCCTTTTAAATGTATGCATTAAGTTTCACAAAAAAGGAAACTGCTGTAGTGACACTTTGCCACGTGGCAAGCTTTAGAAGTGACATTTCTGTCGATTGAAACTAATTTATAATTAGTGATTGGGATCAGAACCTTTGAAATTTCATTGCTGGATCCACACCTTGGAAGGGATCAGAAGGCAACCCAGAGTGAAAGTTTATCCATAACTATAGGCAAAGAAAGACTACATCCTCTGAAATTTATTGAGACAATTTAAAGTCTTCAGAAAGTAGTAACAAATGACAGTTGTTTTTTGTTTTGGTTATTTAACTTAGAATATAAGAGATGAGCAGTAGTTCTGAACTTGGAGAATGAAAAAATATAAACTTTAAGTCATTGAATTAACCACTTAGCAGAATAAACTGAGAGTTGACGAGTCCTCCAGTTGTCTGTAAATTGAAACAGAGAATTTTTTTTAAAACAAAAATTTTTTGAGTTTGGATTTAAAAAAAGGAAAAACAACATTTGCTAAGTTGCTTTTGCTTTTGCCTGTGCTTGGCTTTTCTCACTCCTCAGTGCTGCCATGAGCCGGCCTTACTCGCCCATTTGCTCTGAAAGGCAATTCTAAATTGTGGTTTCCATTGCTGCTATTTCTGCAGTCTAACCGCCATGATAAGCCTTGTCCAGTAGGCCCCAGGTGTAATTTATATATGGCCTTGGTTATTATAATTTTGTTATCCAAGCTGTTTTCACTAACCAGAACGATTTATCCAACATGCAACATAACTTACCTTGTACCATAAACATGAATTCACTCCTCACCCCCAGGAGATTCTAATAGCAGTGGTGTTAATCAAATCAGCCATTTTTGTATTTATATAGTATAAGCTTTTATTCACTGTAAATAAACAAGGCCCTATTTCTATGGTTACTATAAGTCTTATCAAATGAAATCCTTGGGAGGAGAGTGTGGGGGGAGGACACAGGAAAGGGCGAGCTCCTGCAGCCATGTTTGCTAACCCAGCTAGTTGGCATTGAATGAAGAGGTTGCTGCCATTTGCCATCTGTTCATAAAACAGCTGTTTATAGAGAATATGATGAGACACTTTCGCTCCTCCTCCTCCAAAGAGTTTGGCACAAACAGCACAGGAAAAGTAGAAAAGGCCAATTCGTAAGGTCACAAAACTTTAAAGCTATCAAGAGCTAATGTACTTACTTTATAGGTGAGAAAACTGTTTGCTCAGCACCATATAGCTGGCTCTGCTAAAGGCAGAACAGGAAACCTATGCACCACTATGTCCAGTCTAGTTATATTTACCCTTTATTGGGATCCCTTTCTCCCCAGAGGACAAGTATCACTGATCAGATCATAAACAGGAAGGCAAGATTCCCCCCCAAAACTACAAACACTAAAACAGATGAGGAAAATCTGAATTTAAAGTAGTTTCTATCTACTTTCTTACTTCGGTAGAGTAGCCTTATGCACATTGAATGTATCAGTTAAGTGGTTTGAATCACAAGTTATACCTTAATCCTTGTCAACCTTCTCTCTGAATTTAATTTTTATTGAAAGATTTTAGAATCTGCAACGTTGCCTTAATTTACCTGTGGGATCATACTTTTGACACTTTATTAAATTCTGCTCATGTGGATTAAAAGTAACATTTAGGTTGATGATTACTTAGAATTTATGACTTGACGGAATTAGAGTAATAAAGTTACTTTTCCCCTTTTATTAAAAAAAGTATTTAATTTTAAAATATGAACACTACATATAATTTTAAAATAGCTTACAATCATGTATTTGATTATGTGTCTCTCTTTTACCAGGACCCTGTGAGGGTCTATTTTCTTTGCCATAGAACTCCAAGCTTAGTGCAGTGCTTGGCATAGTGGTATTCAGATTATTTTTTTTAATAAATGGCCAAAAGAGTTAAGCATTTCCAGTAACAGCAATTATATTTTTCATAAATGATATGGTTAAAATAACTTACTTGTTGTTCTTTTCTCCACTAGCTTCATGTAGTGACCACTAAATGGAAACAGGGACCTCTTGGTTTCATTTAAGTGTTGTTTTTGTTTGACTCTTGACACTCACGTGATCGTATTTGCAGTGTTATTCCTTAGCCTGAAATTATAAACAACCTTTAAAGAATCCAAGATGACGATTTATTTCTGGGGTCTTTTGTTGACATGTCATGGTGGTTTAAGATAGACAACTCAAAGTAATATGGGCTTTCATGATTGGTTTGATAGGATATCATGACAATCATATTGTAATTCGGTGGTTCTGGGCTGCAGTGGAAAGATTCAACAATGAACAACGACTAAGGTTGTTGCAGGTAAGATGCCATTAGTTAGTCTTTTTAATGCCTTAACTTAATTATTGTTGGAATTACATATTTTTAACAATTGCTATGTATACTCAGTAAATACGTCCCATGCTTATTTGCAAATGTGGAATATACTGTTTCCAGATTCTTCTGATTGCATGGTTCTGTGGCTCCCTCACTATGCAGAGCATGCCTGACCAAGTCAAAGCATTTCATTAGAGTTATGAGAAAGTACCAGCTCCGGTCCAGAAATCCTGGGAGCAACATCTGCTTTCAGGCAGTTTGGGCCCTTCAGCAAGAAGCCCTAGGGTGCTCTGCAGGCCAGCATCCCTAGCAAGAGAAAGAGATAACCATTATTCCTGTAAGAACTGACCCAGTTCCTTAGTAAAGAGTCCCTTTTCTTCCTCCATCTAACATTCCACAAATTTGAGACAACTGTGAAGTTCAACACTGGGAAAACCAACTCATTATTTCTTGTGGTATTTACAGTCACCAGGGCAACTGCTGGTCCATTGCAGCTAAAGAAATGCCAGACATGAGGACACCTTCTGGATGCTCGGGCAGAGCTGAGACCCAAGACCACTGGGTCTTAGCTTCTTTGGATCAAGAATCTGGTCTCCAATTTGCAGACCCAGAAATTCCTTTTTTTTTTTTTAATTCACCTGAAGTTGATCAGGGGCTGATGCTAAGTAGACTTAAGTTGATTGATGTACCCACTTTATTAATCTACAATGGGAAATGTACCTGGTTTAAGCTTCTGAGCTGGTCAGTGGTACAGAATGCTTTATCTTCTACAAACCCTCACATCCCCTCTCCCTTTACAAGGCAGTGCCCTGTGTGTACTCTGCGGCTCTTGGTCGGAATCCTAGCATTACGGTTGTTCCACACCTATAAAGTGGCATCTTTTGATCTTGCCCACCAGCGAGCTGCCTGCTGCCCTTCCCCAGGAGCTGTGCATGTGATTGATGCCCTGCCCATCCCCACAGTGGTCTCTCGGCTTCACCTTCTCCCTCTGTTCTCTCGGGTTGGTAGTTCGTTACAGGCACTTCCAGCATTCCCTATGAAGGATTTGCTTCGCTCCGAGGGAGTAATGGCCCGAGAAGATTCTGTGTGGAGAAGTGGGGGAAAATCACTGCTCTTCCCAGGTAAAACAGAAAACAGTATTTCTTTACTGTCACTACAGAGTGTTAGAGGTACTTTAACTTACACATCTCCTGTAATTACTTACTGCTCATATGTTAAAAGTTTGGGAGAGTGGAAAAGCCTTTAGGATGAATTTCTCTCTCATCACCTTTCTTCTTGGTCATACTTAAAATGCATATATTCATATCTTAAAATACAAAATGCAACAATCCCAAGAGTATTTCTTACCTTTAGTAAAGCAACATGGGTCATCATACTTGTAGCTGCCTGTGATTGTAGCTCTGATATAGATATTTCCAGAAGCCCTAAGTTTTACATTTACATTAATAACTATTTAGAGCCCCTTAGTTTCTAAAGATTACAAAGATGTGTGTAAGTGGTCTGTACCTCTTTAGTTTATACTGTACATGCCTTAATTCCAGAGTGCCCTCTGCACTGTGTTCTCATTCATAATAAGATAATATGTTTCCTTGGAGTGGAAAACAAAATGTCTTACTGCTGCTACTCATATAGTCTGGTAAGGTAGCATTTGTGAATAATAGGTGTTTGGAATTGAGTAGAGATAACTAGAGCTGAAGCAAAAGAAGTTAGGGAGCAAATGAACAAAAGAGGAATAGAGAAGATTTGGTTTTAGAACTCCTTTATCCATTCAAAAATAATCATATGGAATTTTTGAGTTAAAGAGGACTTCAGCTTGCCTCCCATTTCACTACTAATAAAACTGCAATCAGGAGAGGTTAAATGATCCTCCCAAGGGATATTAGGAACCTCAATATGCCATCCTAAGTTAAAAGAAACTTTGTACAACTTCAAGAAACCTGTCAACAAGATTCCTTCTTAGCAATTACAAGATACTAGTTCTTAAGAATTATATTCTAAGCATCAACACATGAAAAAGGGGACAATGAAAATATAAACACAGAGAGCAGTGAACAGTGCAAGGTCAGGGCTGGCCTAAGGCCCTGCTGCCCCCTGGGTGCCCCTCGCCCTGGGAGCAGAGGCACTAAACACCTAAGTGTTACCTGACATATCTGATCCAAATTTCAGAGACTGTAATTTCATTATTTTAAAAACTCTTTTATTTTATTTATACCTGAATCATGCCCTCTTCTCCCTCTACTCAAGTACATATTTGTATCTCAAAGCAGATTCACACTATATGAGTAGCGTCTTTCACCCAATGAGAAACTTAAGGATTAGCATCAAGGAGGCAGGAAAGGGCAGATTAATTGTGTCACATTTCTCTTGATTTGTTTTTGTAAGGATTTACTTTAGTAAAGTGGATGGAATTTTACTTTACTTAAAGGTGAAGCAAAAGCATATATGCAGTTGTTCACCTTTAGTCACTGAGCCAGGGAGGGGATGGTCTATTAGGTTCGGTTGAGCAGCAAGAAGTAACACCAACAGGTTGTTGAAAAATCTTGGGGGTTGGGCTGGATTCACTTTTCTACTTCCCCCTTGGAGCACCAGGAAGCTCACTCGCTGACTCAGGATCAGTGGTGTTCCTCAGTGTCGTTGCGTACACACAGTTAGGCAATAGGCATTGTCATTTCTTCCGGTGTCCAATATGACCTAAGTCTGGTTCTAGACTCCTAGTTTTACCCAGATTATAAACTAACATAAATAAAGGTGATATAAATAAAGGCACATCAGGCAAATAGACTATTTGCATACCCTGTCTGTAACAAGCCCTAACTTTTTAAGTCCAATAGGAGAAAAGAGCTACTTGGCTATTCTATTTCACAGTTAGTCAACTTACATAACATAGTTGAAGCATGAGTTCAGACCTAAGGCCTATGACACACTTGCCATGTGATCCTAACCAAGAGCCCAGATCTCTGAAGAGTAAGGATAACAATGCCATGCTCAAACAGTATATGTGATGAGTGATTAAGATAATGTACATGAAAGCCCATAGGGATAGTAGGTTTTCTTTGTTCTGTTTAACCTTCTATCCTGAATCTTCAATAAGCCCCCATGATGCTGTAACTACTAAAATGTGCTCTACCATGAACATACATCTGGAGGAAAAAAATAAAAAGGAGAACTTCATTGCATGACCATATAGTTTTATCCCAAGTGATTTCTTCACCGATAACCTCATCACCTTTTATGAAATATGAGATGTTATTTAAATGTAAGAAGACCTGTAAGATTGGCTCTGGTCTAAAGAGATTGTTTTATATGGCTGAGTCCATTTCTCCTGCCATCAAAATAGATATACTGAAGCTATTTTTTTTCCTGCTATTTCCTGCTAGGTTTAAGTTACAGAACTAAAGAGCTGGTCTGTCTCAAGCAGGTCAACACCAATGGTATTTCTTTTCTTATTAGCGAGATCATGTTTAACATTGAAAATGTGGTATTGTACATGCTGGAGACAAAATGGATGGATGTCCTTCTTACTTAGAAAATGTATTCTGTAAGCCTTCTGGCAACGTCTTGTGTCAGGCATAAGGGCTGGAGCCTAGGAAGTCAGACTGCCATGAAGGGTGAGCGCGGGGCAGTCCCAGCACACTGGAGGGTGTCTTGGTTTTTCTAGACGTGGGTGGGTTGTGGGCCTTTCAGCCTTTCAAGCAAGCAAAAGCAAGTCTCACTCTCTTCTCAGATTTCCAGGTCTCCCTTTGTGGTGGCAGTGAGCAGTGCTAGCCACAGTATGTGGGCCAAGAAGTATTAAAGTATATGGGTTGTCTCTGAAGCCAGTACAAGTTGAACCCATGGCTCTTTTTCCTTTCTTGTGATAATAAGTATCCAGAGACCCAGGTGATAAATAATGATGTAGACAGACGGATGTCTCCATGGAGGCTTATAGTCTGAACACATTTCTGCACTTCCCCTGCTTCATGGTTGGTAGTCAGCTCTGAATTTTGCATTTCTGTGGATTTCCTAGCACCTGATGGACTTAGGAGACAATAAAATTCACTTTATGGCAGTTGTTCTTGAACATTCAAAAAAAACAGGCTGCTACCATGCCAGCCTGGAAAATGCAGGGCTAATCCTCTCTCCCAGTGTGGTGTGGAGCTTATATGTTTATCTCAGAGGTTCTTGCCAAGTAGGATGATGGGACAGAGTGGGAGCTACAGTCATGATGGGGAAGTGTTGGTTTTGCCAAAGAGGGTAAACATTTATTTTTTACAACAACTATATCTGGAGATTATTAAGAATGAATACTGACTCAAATTAAGAAATAAGATTTAATTATGAAGTGGGTGTCTCAGGGAGACAGTTTTTCCAGTGTACTAGAACTTAAAAAGGTACAATTATTTTTTAAAGATATGACAGCTTTTTTTATTTTTAAAACTCTGATGACAAAAAATGCTAAAAATTTTATCTGTCTACTACTATCTACTGTCATATATGTTTCTACTACTGAGATCATTTCTGTTAATATTTTGGAGCTTATTCTTTCACTTAGTTCTAAACACACATATACAGAACACACATTAAAAACAAAAATACAATTTTTGCTATATTGTTTGTAACCTGCTTTTTTTTTTTAGCAAATATCTCTGTGAATTATGACCATCTCTCCATGTCATTAAATATTGCTCTACAATGTCATCAATAGCTCAGTTTTTCCTCTTCTAATACAGAGAGCATTGTCTCCTGTCAAAGCAAACTGTCAGCTAGGGAATAGGAAAATAACTGAGGAATCCTGTAACACAGGGTCACTTTGCTTACTTAAAAAAAAAACAGATTTAGAACATGAGCTGGTCACTGGAAGGACTCCATGGTGGTGTTTCTCTCCTATGTTTGTCTTGAGGTGTCCTTCTTTGGTGTCCCCAACCCTGACTGCCTGCGAGTAGCTGAGGTGGCAGTGGTCTGAGAAGGAATTGACAAAGGATTCTCATGTAATCGTCTGCTCCATAGTTTAATCTCTAATATAATGCCCTCTTCAAGTCTTTTCCCCTCTTCTCTCCTTAGTTCTCACTATCTAACAATAGTATTTAAATTTTTTATTTTATTCTACCATTGAATAAGGATATAGTAATAAGACTATGCCAGTGATGACTAATAATACCTTATTTAAAATCCTTAAACCTGCTATACATTTTGGAATTGGTCATTACTTTGTGAAGTAATGGTTTTGTTAATGATTCATATTATAGAAAACCTGTGAGGGTCAGAGACTGTTACATTATCCTCAAACCATTTTGCATCAAAAAAGGGACTCTTCAGTAATATAAAGAGTAGATTTCCAAGTAGAGCTGTTGAAAGAATTTGTGATTATTTAATGGAATGAAAGGAGGGTTAATTGTTGCTGGCAACGGAAAATAGAATAGTTCAGGTCAAACTAATGGTCTTTGAGATCAAGTTGTATATTAATGTGTATATTTGTGAGAGGCAGGACAGCTTCTAGGGAATGCTTAGCCCCTTATGCTTGGCCTCAGAAGCAAACATTAGTTTGTGGTCATCCCTTTCCACCACCCTAGGCCACTGGCACCTCTCACCTGGACTATTGAAGCAGCCTTCTGGCTGAACCCTCTGCTTTATTCAATAAGTCTTGTAGTTCATTCTGCACTCAGCAACGTTCTGACGTCTCAAGACTACCTCCTTTCCCAGCTTACACCTCCAAAGGCTAGAATAAAACCCAAACTGTCTGCCAAAGACTTCCAGGTAGGTGGCCTGCTGTGGCCTACCACACCAACCTCAACACATACACCCTCTCCCTACCTGCTATAGCCACCGGCCTCTTTGTTGCTGTTCCTCAAACATACCAAGCTCAGTTGTACCTCAGGACCCTGGTACTTGATGCCCAAACTCTTCTCTGCTGGTTCTTCGCCAGCCTGACTCTTTCTCATCCCAGGGACTAGGCTCAGATGTTATCTCCTCAGAAAGGCCCCCAGGCTTCTACCCACAGTGCATCTGTCTCTTTGTCACACTTATTTTCCTTTATAGGACTTACTCCAATTCAATCATTATGTTTAGTTATTGGTTACTTGTTGATTATCTATCTTCCCTTCTACGATATAACCAATCTCATGAGAAGAAGAACCTTGTTTGA